AGGTGTTGGCTATGACTCACCGCTCGATTTCCCAAAGCCGACCTTCTTAGAGGTTTACTCTCAGGGTCCTCTACGCCCAAGGCTTACGAAAAAGCATGGACATCTTCAGATACGACGAAAGATTTGCGCTTAGCCGAGGATTTGGCGCAAAGCCTTTGGTCCTGCGCGGCGCTGCGGCTCAGCGACCAGCCACTGCTGAGTGCTTTGCTCGGCGCCCTCGTGTGTGCAGAGCTGCAGCCGCTGGGCCTGTGCCCCGGCGTCCCGAAATCGCGAAACGGCAACGGCCCCGGGGGGGGGGTTGTTGATGCCAGGAGGTTTGGATCACGGGACTCTCAAACTAGGGGTCCCGCAGAATCGGTGATTTCCCTTTTCGTTTCCGTTTGCCTTCCCTTTGAGTTCAAAACAGAAGGGACACAAGGTCCGAAACCCATTTTGAGAAGCTCCATACTTGCGGCAAAGCGGGGTAAATGTCCATTTCTTGCGATACCAAGGGAACAAATTTCAAGTGACAAAGTAGTGATAGGGACTGGCCATGTTGGTATCACACGGTGATATGGGCATGTGTTTTTGCGGGTACGTTTTTAGGATAGTTTTAAAGGGAAACCAAAAAGAAACTCACAATTGGGCCTTCCAAAAGTCACACCCATTTGCCACAAACATAGAAATCTCCGGTTTGGGCCTCATCGACGAGGACAACTGGGCGCCAATGAAGGATCCTTTCCCATGAGTTGGGCAAAGGCAATGTTAAGGGAACCAAACTTCCCTTGTGGTGAAATTAATCGCAACCTCACAAAGGGAAGTTTGGTTGACGGGTTTCTGCCATAGTCCAGTCCATTTCGTATTTAAGGCCGGCAACGACAACCCCAGCTCATGTTCCAGGTCGAACTGCGCGGTGAGGGGAGTGGCGGCTTTGTTGGGTAAGTATGTGTTGGGTCGCCGGGTCGCCTGTGCACGGATTGCAAGAAATAGTTTCCCCGCAAGCCCTCAAGCGGAGTTATTGAAAAATGTCTTTATTAAAACATTGTTGTTTTTCTGTTTCAAGAACAGCTGTCACAGGAAGGTTGATGGCTTAACGTGCGAAAGGGGGGAACACATGAGGAGCATCCAACTTCTACGCGGCTTTGCAAATGAATGATTGGGAGAGGGGAGTTGCGCCCAGTCTTGTGGGGAAGAATAGATGGCTGGAGCTGGGACTCCATTTCCCCCTCGAACGTGTTTCTCCTAGGTGAAAGGCTTGCACTTCATGGATGGCTGGATAATTTTGGCTGGGGAGCCCAAATGGAACACCAAATAGTGCCTTTCGGCCTCCCTTTTCTCAAGCCATGCGAGAGAGGGGCCCAATTAGTTTGGACAGAGAAATCAGGTTCCAATGTCATGGGGAGGGTATAGAGAAAAAAACATTCGGGTCTCACACCTTTCAGCCCCAGGTCCAGCGTGGCCTGGTCTATGGCAGCCTTGGAAGTGGTTCACCCTCTTTTGGATCAGCTGGTGGTTTGTGCTAGCGACTGTGACTGCGGTGGCTTGGCTGATCAGTCGACAGAAGCCAGTGGTCGTATTGGATCAAGCAAGCCCTCTCCAATGTATTGTATGTAATTCTTAGATTTACCGGTGCTTTAGGTCGACACCTTCCTAGTTGAAAACCATTTTGTGAAGCTGTTAAGGCTTGGGCAAGTGCAGCTTGCTGTTTGCAAAAAGCACAGTGCTGCAGTACACGTACTCAATCGTTTGCTCTTGAAGTCTTCTTCTCAGCAGCTGCACAAGAGTGTTACGGGGTCCGTCTTAGCTGTGGGCATTGCTGCATCTCTCACATTGCTTGGTGAGCTGTGGGCGGATTGTATCGACTGCAAGAGGTTGGAAGTGAAGACCTCGTGTTGAAACCTTCTTTATTTAAGGGGCTGCCTTTATCTCCCTCCAGGAGTCCAAAGGCAAGATATGGCAAGGTGCAACTTTAGATGTTGTTTTGGCCAGGGCCCAGCTATCTTTGCCGCCGGCTCTGCACAGCGCCCGTGTCAGATTGAAGCCATGCCAATTCTCCCGATGGCAAGCGACAAAGTGCTTACAAACATGTTCTCCGGCATTATTCTAAGTAGTTGTGCCAGAGTGCTACGCACTGCGCCCAAGCCTTCCATAAGGAGGATGCCATGAGTGATTCCGGTCATAGTGATTGCTGCAGTGGCATGAATTATTGAGCATCATTCGCTAGTGCTGCGCAGCGGACATGTCAGATCCGTCTGTTGGCGTTTCCTCAACCAAATAGTATATGACATCACGAGCTTGCCCAGATTGTGTGGCTTGCGGCTATCAGTCGGAGAAAGCTCAGCTTAGCGTAGGCTTCCCCCAGTGACAGCCTCCATTCCGCAGCTGCAGGTGGTTGGGAGCAGCGGTATGGCTGTGGGAAGTGCTCGTTCGTCAAATGCCGTTCTGCCTTCTTGAGATTGAGACAGATGCAACTGCGTTCTCTGAGAGGTGCCCCATTGCCTTTTGGACCAGCATGTCAGGATGTGGCAGAAGTCTTGGAAAGTCCTGCAGCATCAACTGTCGCCCAATGTTCCAAGAGAGTGAGAAGGAAAGAGGTTCTTGTTGCGAGCATGAATCTGTTTTGACAACTTTGCCATCGGGCCCGTCGAACATGCGTCGCAACCGAGCCGCGTGCTGAGCTTTGTCAGAGTGCCAGTGCAGTCCTGTTTGTGAGACCTAGCTCCTTTACCTGAGCCTAAGTGTTGTTTCCCCGGTCGGTAGGTCAGTCGGCTTGGGTCGGTCGGTTGGTCGTTCGGTCAATCAGCCACCTGGAACGCCCACCCTTATAATTAGATCAACGAGTTTCCTGCATTTTTGCATGCCTAAACCGTTGCGCAGACCGCCACGTTCCCAGTGCCTCAAGCAGCTCACACTTTGCCTTTGCCACCAATCAATGCACGGGTTTTGTTACAGGTTGCCCCACACTATCACTGCTTGAGCCACGCTGCAGCATTGCGTTTCAAAGCGAACCAAGCCAATCAAGCTCTTGCGCTAGCAAAACACCAAAAAAAGTGAATTCTAAATTATCTCTCAAAACCTGCGAACATGCCGTGGCAAGCGTGTCTCAGAAAACTCAGAACAGTGTTCCGCTACTCCGACTCCGACAAGGAATAATGTATGCAAGTGACTACATCTACAGGGTCTGAGGATAACGCCCGCTGCTGTTCAAATGCGTTGTGTATGCACTGCGGGATTCGCAAGTCAGCCGGGCGGGGCAAGTGATGTTGATGGCGCTGGTGTAGAAAACGTCTTGGTAGAACATGCTGCAATATCTAGCAGTTTAGTGCCTGCCGAACCTAGGAGAAGAAAAAGAAGAAAAAAAACGCCGAAGCTAGGGGGAAAAGAACCTTCCACCGAGCTTCCTTTGCAAGCAACGGGGAGGGCATCCAGCTGACTTTCGGCCTGATTCCGCGTGATGTCGTTGAACTGTTTACTCAGAAAGATTCTCACTGCCCCACCTTGCCAAACGGTTGATCAATCGGGAGGCACAGTACTAGGGAATCAGACAGAACAGCTTGCTTCCTCGAGTTCATGTCGGATGTAGCGAGGTCCTCGAGAGGCATCCAACCTCCTGTGGGCCTTTGCAAAGCTGGGTGCCGCACTCAGTGTCAAACTCGTTGATCACACAAGGGTCTAAACAATCAGAATGGAATTGCGAAATACCCAAAGCCCAAGTTAAGTCATGATCGTAAGAATATCAGGAGTGTAATCATTCAGCATGATTTTGAGCCAATTATTTTCACATCCTTGGAGACTCATGCCATCTTGCAGAAGATCCCTCAGGTGAATCGGACGCCTCTAGCCACAGCATGGATACTCCAGCCCCCGTTGGCTTGGCCCCCAAACAGGCCTCTTTGGGATTGCAGAAGCTTTGCCAACTCATCAATGTATCAAAGACAGTTGGACCCCGACTGCCCCTTGAGCCAACAAGCGGCCCTTGTCTTGCTTTTGTCCCGTACATTTAGAATTCAGTTGTCGGGTACCAAACCAAGTGGTTTGATGGTCATGGGAGAATTTATGTCCACGTTGCTAGCACCATATATTTTCCATCTTTGATCAACATTTCCCCTATGAAGGGTCACCTTGAGGTCTCTGTAAACGTTAGTTTGCCGATTTTGCGGATCCTCTATTTGGTTTTTGTTTTCAGAATCGGGAGCCCCAAAAAGCGCCATCTTCCACCGACCAAAACGGGATTCACCATTTTGAGACGGTGACGCCGTCATTTTCGGCAAGGGGTGCTGGTTGCGCCGCTGGCGCTGCAGCTGCGGCCGACGGCCCTAAGGGGCCAAGAGCTGGCCAACGTGGCCTGGGCCTTCGCGCAGGCCGGGTGGGCAGGGCCTCAACTCTAAGCTTCGGCTGATTCCAGTTCCCCGCACTCCCTTGAAAACATGGGCTGTAGATGAGTTGCCTCTTTGTAGCTTACTGCAATCCCATAGAGAAAGAATAGGTTCTTGCTGTCTTAGGTGACGCTGGCCTAAGCGATGTATTGCCCTCATGATGCAGAAACATGTTCAGCTGCGGCAGAGTCATTGAATCTAATTCACTGTCGGGGGTGCTGCAGCGACAGTGCATGCAGTCACGCGCGGACACACGCCACATGCACAGAGACACGCACACAGACAGCGCGCACACACACACACACACACACCGCCCAGTGTTTGGGAACAATGACATCCAAACCGCAGCACGACTAGCTCCCGACTGCCAGATTATCACGGGCAACTTCGGAAACCCTGAAAGCTTGTTCGCGTGTGTCATGTGCATGTGCAGTCATGTGCATGTGCTTGTGCACGCATGCGACCACGCGGCTGCGTGGCCGCGTGCGTACATGCGTACGCGGAGCTTTGCAAGGTGTGTGAGTCTGTGTGGGTGTATGGTTGGGTGCATGGGTTCGTGGGTGCGCGGATGGGGGTGTAGGTGAGTGGGTGCGTGGGTGCGTGAGTGTATTTGTGTCTCGATGTGTGCTGCTGCTGCTGCTGCTGCCGCTGCAAGCATGTCCTCAAAGTGCCGTTCTCTGCTCGTGGCCTTGTGAAGGCCAGAATGCGTAGTAACTAGCCCCGCTTGTGACGTGCACGGCACTTGACCTGGGTCAACTGCCAAGAGGCCTCAACCTTTGATATTGCATGATGGGTGATTTGTGCGTATGGGCTTTCCTTCGATGGGTGTCAAACGGCTTGACAGGTGGCTGACGCCAGCAGCATCTTGGCCTGACTGTTTTCTGTGCCCGCGATCTAGCCGAAACCGTGTCCCGATCGTTTGCAGGTGTCCTTGTTGATGGCCTTCTTAACGACGTGAGGGGAGTAGTCATCCCGATTTGATTCGTGCAATCTTCATTGGACATGACTAGAGGGCGTTGTCATGCCAGAGCTTTGTTTTCCTTTCACCAGCTTTGGTTGACAGCCAGCCTTGTTCGAGGTGTAAGCCATTTTTATGTTGTAGTCTGCAGCTCAAAGTCACAATATTCAGGGGTGTCTCTTGGATGTTGTTGTTCGCAGCTTGATATTGAGCCATCAGAGAACTGGAAGATACTCCTGCCTGCTTCCCTGGGAATGGCACGTTGAAAGCGTCACTGTCTCCCTGCCCGCCCGCCTGCTTTCTCGTTGGTGAAAAAGCAGCTTGGAACTAGAGGATTGTGTTTAGTCTACTTGCCAAGACTTCGTATTGTCCCGACTGCCACCTCACAACATGCCCATGTGTCATGTGATTCTCAGATGCTAGAGTTGATCCTGCAGCCTTCTCACGTGTTTTCGTCAGCCAGGAAGCTTGCCACTCAAATAAGCATGTACTATTGGATAGATGACACGGGAAATGCAATTACGAATGTTCCATGAATATTAAGCAGATCAAGAGTGAATCATTCCGACTGGGCTACAAGTCTGTGTGTGTGTGTATGTGTGTATGTGTTTGTGTGTGTGTGTGTCTGTGTGTGTGTGTGTGTCTGTGTGTGTCTGTGTTTGTGTGTGTGTGTGTCTGTGTGTGTGTGTCTGTGTCTGTGTGTGTGTGTCTGTGTGTGTGTCTGTGTGTTTGTGTGTGTGTGTGTGTGTGTGTGTGTGTGTGTGTGTGTGTGTGTGTGTGTGTGTGTGTGTGTGTGTGTGTGTGTGTGTGTGTGTGTGTGTGTGTGTGTGTGTGTGTGTGTGTGTGTGTGTGTGTGTGTGTGTGTGTGTGTGTGTGTGTGTGTGTGTGTGTGTGTGTGTGTGTGTGTGTGTGTGTGTGTGTGTCTGTGTATGTGCGTGTGTGTGTCTGTGTGTGTGTGTGTCTGTGTCTGTGTGTGTGTGTGTGTGTCTGTGTGTGTGTCTGTGTGTTTGTGTGTGTGTGTCTGTGTGTGTGTGTCCGTGTGTGTGTGTATGTCCTTTTGTGTGTGTGTGTGTGTCTGTGTGTGTGTGTCTGTGTGTGTCTGTGTGTGTGTGTGTGTTTGTGCTTGTGTTTGTGCTTGTGTTTGTGCTTGTGTTTTTGCTTGTGATTGTTTTTGTTTGCGTGTGTTTGTGTTTGTGTTTGTGCGTGTGTTTGTGCTTGTGCTTGTGCTTGTGCTTGTGTTTGTTTGTTTGTGTGTGTGTGTTTGTGTTTGTGCTTGTGATTGTGATTGTGTTTGTGCTTGTGTGTTTGTGTTTGTTTGTGTGTGTTTGTGTTTGTGCTTGTGCTTGTGCTTGTGTTTATGTGTTTGTTTGTTTGTTTGTTTGTTTGTTTGTTTGTTTGTTTGTTTGTTTGTTTGTTTGTTTGTGTGTGTTTGTGCTTGTGCTTTTGCTTGTGCTTGTGTTTCTGTGTTTGTGTGTTTGCGTGTTTGTGTGTGTGTTGATGTATTTTTGCGTGTCTGTGTGTCTTTGTGTCTGTGTGTCCGTGGTTGTTTGTCTGTGTGTCTGTGTGTCTGTGCGTTTGTGTGTTTGTGTGTTTGCGATCCGCAAATGGACCTACACCCCCACCCCTGTGTTGTTGATGTCCCACAACCACTTGAGGTCTGCTTAAACTCCACAAAGGCTTGGTTGGGACCATTCCCAATGAAGCCGTAGAAAGGGTAACAGATCTCCCAGGGTTCCTCCGACCCTCAAAAAATGACCAAACTACCTTCAGATAGAGAATCGATACATTTGGATATTTGGGCCCTCTTCCAGGGCGAAGGGAGTGAACTGAAACGCGCCTTCAGACGCAGGTGCATCAGTTATTCAGCCGGAGGTTACTTCATCTTCAAGGGCCAACTCTCTACCTTTAAGCTCGGGTCAAATGGAGCGGTCCGCTTTCTCTTATGCGTGAGCGAAGGTGATGCAACGGCAGCGCTGCAGCAGCTGACCGAGGAATCATTGCCTCAGATCAAGTCCCTCACGCCTCAGGAGTGGACGGATTTAAGATGTGCAGTCTCGTTTATGAGTGGCCACACGGGTGTGTGTGTGTGTGTGTGTGGTTTTTGGGAAACCCCGTTTGGATGGTTTGGGGCGGTCTTTTGAGGCAAAGCCACATTCAGGAACTTGATTTGCTTGCACCACATGTGGGAGCGCAGATTGGACATGTAGCCATTGATACAATACGTGAACTATTCATTGATATGAACTAGTGCTGATTTGCTGGCATGACTGGCAATGTTGGCAAACCCTGCCGCTCCAGCTATCCTCAGCATAACTTAGCCTGGTGCAATCTAGCTCCTTCGGGACCTATTTGGAGCTCATCCTCCTGCTCTGGCTCGGCGACACCAGCCAGCTGGCTTCTGACCTCATGGCGGAAAGTTGTCATGCCATGCGTGTGTTCCTGTTCCGTCTGAAGGCACTGAATATGCGGAAGGAAGGGTGGGAGTATGATGGATTCTCGACAGATCAAAAGTACACCACATGAAAATGACCGACTCCCCCAGTCTTGTAGGTGGACAGGAGTTGCGTGCACCTTTTATGCCAAACTGGCAGATTCCAAACACAACACTGTACTTTACAGGGCTTCCCCCATTCACGAATGTGAGCCTGGGATGAATCCGGAACATCACACAAAAACAAGTATTGGAAGTTTAGATGAGTCCGCATTGCGGGATACTTGTGCTTCAAAATCGCTTTTTGTGTTTAATAATCACACAAATGAACCGCTTACCTTGGAGAGCCCCTCGTTTTCCAACACGTTCAGAGAGCCCGGGGGAATTTGCAGGGAGGAAACTTGCCTTAGTTCAGGGTTGCTCCAAACCTCCGAATTGGCAGACGAGTGTGTGACTTCGACTGCTTTCAAGTCCCTTTTCCAGGGCCAAAGTGCCCAATTTTTTGCTTGGGTTCGGGGACCCTTTCAACCAAGTAAAACGAGAATGGCGCCCATTTGCAGTTCGGATCACTCAACTGGGATTGGTTTGCAAACAGAACGTATTTCACCGGAGTGGTGCCACCTCCGTGCGACAAACGATCGAGGAGCTGTCGAACCTGTGCTGGGCCGCAGCCAGCTGCTCGGTGGCTTCTGGTCCCCTTCTTGAGGCGGCCAGCTCCGTGGACCTAAAGCAAAGCACCACCCAGGAGGGGCACAGGGAGATTCGGGCCGTAGGGTCGACTAAATCTATAGGTTCCAGTTGGTTTATGTTTTTTTAACGGAGGATGGTTGTTGTTTTGGTTGGAGTCATAGTTTCATTGTTGCCCGTGTTTTGTTTCTTCTCCCGTGGTTTATTTGTTTTCTGGATGGACATGGCGTTAACATGGCTTGCTGGGCATTTTTTGGTCACAACCTCAAGTCAGGAATTGCTTTCAGGATCCGTGAATCAACCCTGGTTTCATGTCTACCATCAAGGCAGATCCTTGAAAATTCCAGAACACTTGAAGCGTTCGCTGTTCTTTTGGTTTCCCTTGAGAGTCATCCATTCACACGTGATCCATGTGCGACCAAATGGGTATGCATACGGGGGATGTTCCTTGCTTTTCGCGCAAGAACGAGATCCTCACGAGGACTTGGCGCGCCTCGCCTGGGCCTTCGCCCGAAGCTCGGACTGCTTTGACGCTGCGCCGTTCCTCCGCGTTTGTGCGGCGCGGGTGGAGCCAGAGGCCATGCAACCCAAGGAGGGACCGCAGCGACTGGCAACCGGAAGGGTCTCTTTAATGTTGATCCAGGAATAAACGCCTGGTTGATGAACAAAAGGGTCCCCAATTCATCGCTCTTGTGGGCCCTCCCTGGTCAATTAATAGGACTGGTATATTATTCTGGGGTCCCCAGTCTGAGGTGCGCCTAGGCCCTCAACCAATTGGTTTGTTGCTTCAGCTGTTAGTTGGACAACCATGCTGACAGAATCCATACCCGGAATTCCCAGCGGTCTTGGTACATAATTGTAGTTGATCCGTGAGTTTGATTGACATAAGGTTTCACTTGGAGATACATCTTTGCCTTGTACACAGGGTCCACAAAAGGCCAGCGGGCCACACCAACGGGCCATGCAAGTAGTCGTTAGATCAAGCTCATACTAGTGAAGAGACTGTCAGATTGCAGGTCCCTTCAGCAAAGCATGTGACCAGAGCGCGAAGCCGATCTTTCGCCTTGCATACGCAGGATTTCGCAGACCTTATGTGGGCCTTTGCCAAGGTCCAGCCACTTTGCACGGGGCGGGCCTCTGCGGGGTGTGGTTCATGTTCTGGTGGAAGTCAGGCAGCTGGAACCAAACGAGCAGAAGCCCCTACTTAGAATCTCCAATAGATATTTCCTTGCTAAACAAGGAACCACCCCTCAATACCGTCTTGATTAAGTTCACATTTCTGAGTGGCGAACTCTTAGCCGGTAGCTGCTAGAGCGGTTGATAGCAACGGGCATTCGGCGTTGCAGTCAGGTTGGCGATGAAACGCTGCCACGCTGATATCAGTCCTCAACTCAAGTTTCAATGCAGCTGCAGCGCAGGCTGCACGTGCAGTCCTGGCTCTATTTTTCGAGGCTCCTCTTTTTTGGGATGGTTCAACCAGGAACTCAAAGGAAACCCACCCCATGTTGGGGCCTTTCCATGTTCAGAGGCACGCCCACATTTGGCATATGGCTAATTATTTGTCCTTCTGGATTCTGGAAACAGGCTGAAAAGGGGGTGTAGCCTCCAAAAAAGCGCAGCCACATGTCACGTTCCAACCTCTACCGAGGCTGCGGGAGGCGGCTTTGTGCCTCGGCTCAGGGCCGCGCCTGGCGCCTTTCTGCGGGGCCTCGGAGCTCGCGAACTTGGCCTCGGCCCTGGTGAAGCTGAGCCTCTCGGAAACTGAAGGACGAGTCCCGTGTGGACGGAAATGGACGAAACTGCCCTAAATGGGTCGCAAGCCAATTTTATCGTCGCTTCCCCTTTGGTTTGAGGGGCCAGGGAAGACATATATGCCGCCGGCTTTGGGAGCGCGCCTGCAGATCTGAGTGTGTTGATCGGTTGTGCGATGCTTAAACTACCAATTCGGAATTCGGGGGCAGGTGATTTTGCTTTAGCTTTGTTTTGCTTCTGGGGGCAGAGTTTGCCTGGGCAGCAAGTGTTGGCTCATTGGGGTGGCTGCTGGCGGTTCTCTCCGCTGATGTTCTGATCCTTTGTTCGGTTGAAAATAGATGGCGCTGCTATGTGGTTCCAGTCACTTACCCATGGCATCCAGAAGCTTCCCATAGGATATCAACCGCATGCTCCAAATACCCGCTTGCTTTTGCGCTTGTTTGATCAACCTTGTTTCCATTGCAATACCTCCGTGTTGTTTGATCAGACCCAAGAGAGTGTATTTGGAGCGGGTTCAAACAGCGAATTCGCCGGTCCAGGAGCACTGCTGCAGCAGTTGTGCATCGAGGCCACGAAGAAGATGCACGACTTCAAGCCGGCAGCTCGTGGCCAGTTGGCGTGTTTTTGAGGCCGCCCTTTTGAAGTTGGCTTAAAGGGAAAGCAAAAGGAACACATCCATCTTGGGCAGGTCTGAAATATTGTTGGGCACAAATCCCAAAACATGTGCATGTCCAACAATTGAGGCTTTGTAGGAGTCGGGCTGCGAGTTCCATGTCGCTGAATGTTTCGAAGTGCACTGGAAACAATTGATGCCTTGGTGAGTTCATGCCTCCAATGTTTCGTTCTTGGCAGAGGGAACCAGATGTTGTGAGCTTTTACGGGTGTTTTGTTCCACCTCAACAGGGACTTTTATCCACTGCGTTCTGACAAGCAGGGGAACAAGCGAACGAGCCAGCAGGCAAACAAAAAGGCAACCAACCTTAGACCAACCCTAAACCGAACCTAACCCGAACCCCAAACCCAAGCAAGCAGGGGAACAAACACGCAAACAAGAAACTCTACAAACCCTAAACCTACCCTAAACTGCCCTGAGCCAACACTAAAGCAGCCCCAAACCGACCCTAAACCAACCCGAAGCCCACCCTTAACCAACCGCAAGCAAGCAAACAAGCAACCCTAAGCGAACCTAAAATACCCTTAAACGATTAAACAACCCCAAACCGCCCTAAGCCAAGCCTAAAGCAAGCCTAACCCCAGCCGCCTTGTTTGCCGCACTTGCCGAGTGATAAAACACTTGCAAAAAGGCGGCCCTCAATCACGTGGCAACTAGGGGAGGACCGGTCTGAATGACTGGGGAGGGACCCTTTGCCATATGACTGAGCGGACATCAGGAGTGTGCAGGTTCAAGAACTCTGATTGTGCGCCCTGGAGGAACTTCCGTCAACTGCCTCAATACCTAGGCCTTCACATCGAGTTTAGGCTTCTTGTTGTTGCGCCGGCAACTTGTGCTTGTCTTGAAGCTTGAAGTTTCATGGCAGGTTTCAAACGAAGCTACATTTCAATCCACCTCAAGCAACGTTTAAGACCTGCCCATGGACAGGTTCACCTTGCCGTGGTTTTTGCTGGTTTTTGCACATGGCTGCGGGTCAGAGGAGGAAGCCTCCGTCATCTCAATGGGAGCGTGGGGGTTCTCTCACAATTGGATGGTGTTTTTGAAGAAAACGCAAGCAACCCCAAATCAACCGTAAACCAATCCTTAACCCACCCTAAACCAACCTTAACCAGGCATTTTTGTTTCTGACGATTACCTTCTCATTGAATTGTGTATGACACTTGTGAGAGGAGGGTGGGGGCGACAATTGTGTATGTTTGCCTCGGTTGATTGTGCCCCCATGCGGGGGCCCTCTTTCGCTTAGGTCAGGTACGTGGAGTAGCGCGTGGTGTACGTTTGGGGTGACACACCAGTACGGGTTGCTTGCCCTGTTCTCAGTTTACTTTGACCATCTCATAACCACACACTTCCTGAATTTTAATTTGTTTCACTGTTTGTCAGATCCGGCGACTTGTGACACCTTTAGTAAACCTCTGGCGGGTCGGGGACAATGACGGGGGGCCCCAATATGTTGTTTCTGTGAATGGCTTCTTCGAGCGCAGTGCAACAAATTCCTACAAATGGCTCTGTTTTAAACGCACATCAACGGCAAAGGCGAAACAAGCGACTGAAATTTCACAGTGATGCAGCGGCAGCTGCGAATCAAGCAAAAACCCCTTCTTCTCAGGACCTTTCCGGGAGGAGGGGCGGCCTTGAGTTTCCTTCCGATTTATTTGGTCTATCAGTATCGGGCAGTGTCAGGTAGAATTGGCCAACTTCTCCTACGCGATGGCAAGAGCTTCTGTGGGCCAGGAGTGCTTTGCCCATGTCGCACGGGAAGCCAAAAGCAAGCATCTTGGACTTATTGGCGCTCAAACAACAAGGAATGCGTGGATCCGCCAGTGTCGGCCATTGTTTCGTGAAACCAAGCACCTTGGTGATTTCTAATCTGAGTTTGGGCTTGTTCAATGCTTGGAGAACAAAGAGCCGTTGCTTCCATCTCCATACCAGCAAGCTGCAAACAAGACTCTCCAAGGACCCATTCCACGGGCCAATGCCGGTGGACCCAACACACAACATGTTGATTTTCAGGTCTATTCTGGCTGCGATCTGATGTTCAGGTCTGTTCTGGTTGCAAGTTTTGCTGCGCAACACGCCAGTGGGGTTCCAAGGCATCAATCAAGTACTGCAATAGTGAGCAGGGGGCACGCTGACATTTGGGCGTATCAAAGCGTCAGGCAAAAGTGTTTGACCTATACTATTTACTGGAATGGGCGGCAGGCTGGCGAATGACGCGCGCTCTGTCACATTCTGTTGTGGCATGGTCATGGAGAAAACCAACTTGCTGTAATTGGCACGTGTTAGCTTTGACTTGTGACAGCTCGCTCAGGATAAACTATTTTACTGCGCATGACTTGGCCTATGTGGCCTGGTCATTTGCAGCTCGGTCGGGGTGGTGCACAAGGGCTTTGCCCAGGGCCTTGGGCAAGGTATATATATATATATACATACATCTGCAATAATGGAGGGCCACGGCAGTTTGCCCCAGGGACATTTGTGTGTGTGTGTGCCCGTTGTTCATTGGTTTAGGGATCAATGATCACGTATGAGAGCCAATTGGAAAACTCGGATTTTTGGGTGAATAAATATACTCACTTCCTGAGTTCATGAACTTTAAACTTTTTGGGAAGACCATTTTAGTGGTAATTTTAAAGTTTGAACTTTTTGTGGGCCATCCACTCAGCCAGTGAGTATATATATATGTAAATTATATAAATTGTATATGTACCTAGATGGCACCGAATGCCAACCATTTAAGGTAGACAGTGCAGTACCTGCTACTGCACCATTGGCACTGCAAGCACGTCTCTCTTTAAGGGAGATTGCCCAAATATATTGCTTCTGGAACAACTGCTGCCAAACGGGTGCATCTTATCATTTCAGCAGCAAGGCGCGGTTGGAAGATCAATCAATCAGCAAACTGCAAGCTCCTCAATGAATCCTGGACGTAGACTAAAGGCTGAACAGCATGAGCTATCACAGCAAGTCAGCCCTGTGCTTTGAGTCCCATTTCAAGACTGGAATGTGGCAAACTGATACTCGGGACCTAGCAAAGTTCGTGCCATGCCCCATTCTGTTAAGATGCAGCTTTATTTGTCGTCTGTTTCTGGGGAACAGGCTCTCCGGCCTCCAATTGTCAGGATCTTTGGCCTCAAAACCTGAGGCCACCGTGGGAGTTGTGGACCAGGTTCTCTTCGATCAGATCGCGCAGCGGTCGCTCAGCAAGCTGAGTGACTTCACGCTGCAAGGCAAGGGTGGCCAAAATGACGTGTCCAAAATGGGTCAAAAGCCCATTTGGCTGTGAGTTTGCATGAGGAATACCCTCTAAAATGGTTGGGGGAGATAAATTCCCCCGCAAATGATGTCCATTTGAGGCTTTCCAACTAAAACACGTTCCCATGTTGGGTGTTTTTTAGCAGAAACCTGAAACCACCCGCCTGGCAGATTTTGAGAGCAACATCCAAATTTGGAAGTTTCATTGTTCAAGCAGGGGGATTTGGACCAACCCTGACAGGCCTGGCGGATTTGGTGTGGTCCTACTCCATCCTTAGCATTCCTCATGCCGAGCCTCGGTCGATTTGAATGCAAACCAAAAACACGCGGAGGATGTGCGTAGTGTTTAGTGCCGCTTGTTCAGGGCGTCAGGCCGGGATGTGTTGATTTCCAGCCTGGCAGACTTCATGTTGATTGTCTCGCTACTGGCATCTCTTGCAGTTTGTAGGCTACTTTTTCGCATGGTGCTTTGCATTCCCGCGACATTGCGATTGCACTTCTATTGAAACTAGAACAAATGAGCCGGTGTAAGAATAGGGGTCCCGTCAAATGGGACATGAAACAAAACCCAAAACGCCATAATTGGGGACCCCTGGGAGAGATTTGTTGCAAGGACCTCTTCCGAGCTCTGCGAGCTCACTTTTCCGCCCAGCTGGATGGATGGGCGGGCGAAACTGAGAGCCGCGCCAAGCTGCTCGCACGCGCGGACTTCTTCAGGAACAGCGGCACCTTTTGTATGTTCAACCTGGTTGGTAGGTAACCAGGGTTGCAAAGCGGACTGAGCTTGGATGACTGAGAACGCTGATTGTACGCTAATTGCTGCGTCGGTTGAGGGTCCAAGCTCGGACCAGCTTTAGACTTTTTTGCTGGGATGTTTAGGGCTTTGCCAGCCATGGGCTTTAGAGCAAGCATTTCATAGGAGGGGCACTCCTATGCGCCAGCAGGTTGCCTGCCGTGCAAACTAAGCCTGCCTAGCTACCTGCACTTGCACGCCTCCATTTGGGTCAAAGATCAAACTTCTAAGTATTTCTAAGTACTCGTTGCTGTGCATCTCGATCTGATTTCTAGAAGATCGGGAGCGATCATTCAGAGTGCGATTGATTCTGGCCAGGAGGGTCCTTTGGGCGCTGAGTTTTAGCAGAAGCTTGACGGCGGGGATGGTCAAGCAAGCGCAAAGGGCCTTTCTTCGTATCGGCGTGCTCTCGGCCGCAGATGGCGTTCGTGGCTTGCGGGGCAAGAGCGTGTGCGTTTTGCTTTTTTGTGCTGTTTTTGTTTCGGGGCGGGGGCGGGGGGTGGGTCCATGTTGATTTTCATGTGAATGCCACGCCCCCTTGCGAAATCGCCTTGGTCTCTGCTTTGTTTTGGAGGGTTTGATTCGAGGATGAAGCACGCCGGGCTTTGCGTGGCAAGTATACCAGCTTGTGATGCCTCTCGCGTGAGATGAATTGGGAAAGGGTAAGCAACTTGCAGCCGTCTTTGGCAATTCTTGTGGCAGTCCCTTGAAAGAAGGGGCGATTTGCAAAGGCACTGAAGAACAAGATCGTGCAAGAAAGGTCGGTCTAAAGATCATCAAGCGGCGTCCCGCCCCAAAAGCAACATGCAGATCTTCTACTCGCGGCTATTGCATCCACCTGCACAAATCATAACGAAGTCACCCAGCGTTTTTGTTTGTTTTTTTTGTGGGCTTACTCATGAAGAAGACGGTTTCCTCTTGAACAAATCTTTATTTTAGCTGGGGGTCAAGACCAGATTAGCTTCCTCTGAAAAGGGTTCAACACATTTTGAGGCGCACCCATTTCGGGGTCAGGGTGAAATCTTCTCCCAGCTTTCGGGCAGTCCGCATAGCCGAGGGGGCCTTGGACTCATGGTCTTCCGGGACATGTGCTGCTCGGGCGGAACGTCTCGAATGAATCTGGGCTAGTTACAAGGTGCTCAGCTCGGGGTAAAACGAGCACACCCATGATGAAGGTCTCTAACCTGGATTTCTGGGCTCCAAAGGCTGGAATATGCCCAGAAGAATTCGGAGGTTCAGGCAGGGATTCCTTCTCGAAAGAGAGTGGGTTGGAAAATGGGTTGGACTTCGGCTAGCATGGGGTTGCAAGTCCAGTGACTGAAATTCCAGTCTACGGGGATTAGATTTGCTTGGGAAGTCAATGTTTCCCAAACTGGGCAGGCCATGCGGCCATGAAGGGCAAGGGCTGGAGATTAGACCCTCTTCTTGCCGATGTTGCATTCTGTGTGGATATGTTGTTTCTGCCCTTTGCTTTGCTTGTGCGCTCATGCCAGCATTCTCTTTCACAACAACTTGCAAGGCCGAGGGCTAAGCTCTTTGGGCAAGGAAGAGCGCTTGCCCTCCGACCCATATGAAACCTGACGGGGTGCTGGTTTGGACCATTTTCTCTGCCATCTAAAGGGGGCTTCTGGTGGGTTTCATGTTGGTTTGTGCAACGGCCTGTGAGTCACTGTCTCAAATTTGGGGTAGCGGGTTCGCCACTTAGAAATTGCTCAAGAGATCGAATCGGGTTTGCCTCCACAAACGGATCCACTTGAAGTGCTCTTTCCACGGAACGCGGCATGCACTAAGTTTTTTTTTTTTTTTTAATTGGCGATTTTGTCTAAACTAGGGACAGTTTGGGGCATGCTGTGTTTAAGCTTGAGGAGAACCAACATGAGACCAACCGACATGGGGGTGGAGGGGTGTCCTGGGTTGTCGCATGGTCGGCGCATTCCGGCGCTAGCTTATAACATGATTGCCATGTTCACCTGAGAAAGGAACTTGGGTTTCTCAACATCTTTGGCGATCCACTAAGCCCATTCCAAGCCAGAGCCAAGGTTTGGCCTCTGACCTCGAAAGCCTCACCTGAAAGCCTTGAACCAGTTGAACCAGGAGCTGCGCGAATTGACATGTAACGAGTTCAACGCCATGTCACTTCCACAGAACAAAAACAAGGCCCTCGAGGATAACGACCGGAAGTAAGGCATGCTGGATCCAGTCGGCAGTGCCAATGGATCCAAACACAGCTGCCCTTTTGAGAACCGTTGTTGTGAGATTGTTCAAAGTTTGTTTACCCTTCCAACAGGTAGGATTCCTGCGCCTTCTGTAAGAGCTGAATCCTTGGCTCTTGCAAGAAACCGTATTTGCCCCGCGGACCGCAAATCTTCCGATCTCGGCAGAACTGCTGGCTTGTGCCAATTGAGATCGCATGTGGATCTATGCAAGGTTTGCCATGCCGGCCACTGGGCCACACACGTGCACGTGCAAAAATTGGGGAGTGAACCGGACTGTCCGGTTCGAACAGCCAAGACTCCAAGACCACCTATGCTCCCCGAAGGCCATTTGAAGAGCAATGAAGAGCATTTGTGTTCAGCTTGGCCTCCCAGGAGTCGTACTGGAACTCCCCGAAGTGTTGGTGGTGCAGAAGCCTCCGGGCTGGCGGGTGGACACAGGCGAGTGCTCCGCTTGGTTCGGACTACAAGGGCATGTGAGCTGACAAGATTACTGGCAGAGCACATCCACCAATTTTGCCACAAACACCCGAGGGCCCGCCCAATTTCCCTTGTCCTCTGGGGAAGCAAGCCATTGTGCCATTCTAACGATAGAAGGCTAGCTTACAGTCCATCACGAGCCATGGATGTTGAAGTCAACATCTGAGTTGACTTAGTTTTGGTCATGAAACTGTGTTTCCATGATTCTTTGCATGTTCAGGGGCGCCAGGGAGCTGTTGACTAAGTTGTGTAGCTCAAAGGCGGCACTTTAGGGTTTTGAAGTGCAGCTGAATCTTCGAATAAAGCTGTTGAGGGCTGCTAAGTATCTCGAGGCGATTGTTCTCCTCTCAGGACCATGGATGGCGTCCTAGTAATTCTATCCATCTCTTCCACCCTGCTGTCAAGCCTGATTTCACAGGCAGCTTGGAGGATTCGGACTTCGAAGAAGCACCTTCCAGCCAGCGGCTTCTCTCGACCTTCTTGCAGGCAAGCTCTGACCCGTTCATTCTTCCACCCCCAAACCGGGTCTTTGACCTCCATTTTACCTGGCTTATGGGCTCACGAATCAGGTGGGAAAAATCGGAACCCCGTCCCAAGCTGTTGGGCGAGTGTGCACCGTCTCGAAGGGCACTTCACTCGAGCGGTGTGAGGCCTCAAACTGTCAAAACAAGCACTTGGAGCAGAGACACTCACTGCATATTTGTCTGAGACATGTCGAGCCAACCCTTCTTGAGCCCACCTGCCTTATTTGCAGTGTGTGCTCCGGAGATGCATGCAGGCGAGATTCCTACGGAGGCATCATCCGATTTTGGCTGATCCAACGCACAACTGCGGGTCTCGCGGCAAGAATCATACGCCGGTGCTTATTTCCTTCGCAGAGACCTGCCAAATATATCAACGGGGGCGCTATCATGTGGAGGACTGGGACCTCCAGGAAAAGCATGGTTTGATTTGACCTTGCCAAGGTTTCTTCATCGGCTGGATGTTCCGGGATCGGGGTTGATCGTCAGTGCCACGTCCTACGCAACCTTCTGGGATTTGCAGCTGCAGTTGGTGACTGGTCATGTGGCCAGAGAATACGCGACTATGCTTGATTAGTTGCCTCGCAGTGCCAACCTAGACTAGAGCATTGCATTGAAGTGGGTCTGTCTCTTTTTTGGGTTTGAACCCAAAGACGGGGTACCCTCAACAAAAAGACGCCCCCACATTTAATGAGTGGCTTACAATACAAACCGGAAGATATCGCTAGCCCATTGCTTTGGGAAGGACAAAGGGGCCCAAGCAAATTTTCCCTCAAAGTAAATGAGGGGCTCCAGTTCACTTGTCCCATTTCCTGTTGGCGAAACAAGTATGTTTGTCCATTGGTCATCTTGAACATGACTATATATATATATATATGTATAATATGTATTGACCAAACTCCCCCCTGCATTTGTCTTGGTAAGGATTGTCGCGGAAACCGCGGAAGGGCGAGCGGAAGTTTCGCGGAAGGGTCAGCTGATCTGCCAAAGTCTACTTCTTGCAGTGCTCTTGCACTGAGCTGAGAACGATACATCGAACGATGCCGGGGCGATTCAGAATCGATACCGCCCAATGCCTGGGACCTAGTCGAGCTGCCGAAGTGTACTCTGCGCATTCCCTCAGCAGATAAACGTGAAAAAGAATGCGGTCCAAGTTTCACGCGGTCTCTCGCGTCCTTGCAACTCGAAAAGCTTTCTGGCGTCATATCCGGCGTCCTTCGATGTCCGGAGTTCCTTCCTGTGCATCTAGCACAGACATGCAAGCCACTGACTGACTTCGCAAGGGGTCTTATTTAACCGTGGACCTTGGACCTTGATGGCGATCCAGGCGCACGGCTTAGGCCATTGAACAATGTTGAACACTGTTTGCCCCAAATCCCGGCTGAACTACGCTGGACCCGCAGATCCTGCGTGTTAGCATGGAAGAACGTGACAAGAGGTTTTCCCGCTGAAAAAGCATGTGCACTCGCAGAAGGTTTCTTTCGGGTCCCCAGGCTGAACTACGGTATGTTTCGAAAAGACCTGGTGACTCTGAAGAATTTGAATCAGCTACTTGCTGGCTGTGCTGTAAGAAAACTGGCAGTCAGCTATTGTTTGAGTTGCGTTGGTGCAAAGCCTTCAGGGGCGGTCATAGATATTGGCCTTTGGCGGGCTTTGGTTCCCTTTCCGCCAGTCAATAGTCAACGGGATCTCCAAAGAGTGCCATCATTCCAGTTCCCTTGTGGGTGTGCCATAGTTGGCTGGACCCCATGTTGGTTTCTGATACCAAGGCCAGGCGTTTGAAGCGACAAATTAGCCAGGACAACGGTTACCCCCCGTCTGCAGGTTGCAGGTGACCGCGGAACCCCAAAAACTATCATGTTTAGAGGGAAGGTCTCTTCGCGCCTTTTTTAAGCCTCTATCCCAACTTGCAAGGTAATATGTTTCACAACTCTGGGTCCGACTCATTTTGAAACCTGATGTTTGGTGAACACATCGAGTACTTTTGAATCTTGGGGGGGGGGCTCAGTAGATTCCCTGCAACAAACCGGTTTTGGCGCCCATGTCCCCCATTCTTTTTGTGTAAAAGGTGTCCTTTGTGTTTTTTCCTTTCTTTAGTTTGCCGACCAATTTCTGGCGATGTCTCTGCGACTTGCCATCGCTGAGATCGCTCTGAGCCATGGCTGGGGCGACCCGCAGCGTATGGCTGCGCGCATCACCTGGGACCGATTCGGAGAATCCCGACCCAGCCAGGCCGGCTCATAGTGTGAGAGGGGGGGGGGGAACATCGATTGCAGGCATGTTTTGTCACAAGAACAGGCCAAAGTATCCGGATGTGATTGTCATCAACTTGCAAGGTATGGTTGGGGACGAGCCCTTAACGTCGCGTAAAAAACCAGGGAAGGCACTGACGTGTCCATATCCTTTAGAGCAACCGTTATATTGTGGCTGGGCTCTAGTTTTCTCTGCTTTTGAAGCGCCAGCATCAAACGGAGTTTTCCTGCTACGGTCCCCTGGGTAACAAAGCCCAACTGTGAAAATGTGTTTGCTCAGCGTGTTTTCCATCAAGGGGAGGAGAAGTGGCAAGCGGAATCCTCAACCCGGATCCTGTCAGATGTGGTTGGCTCAAGTTTCTAGAAAAAGCACTGACAAGAGAGGCGCGGAGCTGTTTGTCAAGCACCCTGATTGATGTCCCAATCGCCGGTCGGGTAACAGATGAGTATCATGATGATAGGTAGATAAGTCAGCTCCACCGAAGTATTTTTGGACACCATCCTCGTTAGAGAGGACATATACGATGTACAAGAGCAGTCGGTGCGGGTTCAGCAGATCCAAATAACAGCCTTTGCCTTGCTTTTGCAGCCTTGCTGAAGGACGGCCCTGTAGTGACTTGGGGCCATCCTGACCGGAGCGGAGACAGCCACCGGGCTCTGTGGTGACTTGGGGTGATTGTGAATCTGGGGGTGATAGCAGCCAAGTTTGAGAGCAGCTTGTGTGGGCCCAGCAGATCCAAGCAACCGATCTTGGCCCTGCTGTGCTGCTATGCTGGATCATGTTTCGGTGGTGACTTGGGGAGATCCTGGTGCTAGCGGTGGCAGCTGGCAGGCGCGCCCGGCAGATTCAATAACACTGCTTTTGCTGCCATCCTGGTCGACGGCTCGACAGCAGTCACATCCGAGCTTGGTTGGTTGTGTGAATGGATTGCCCGATCTGGATGCCCCATCCTGGCAGGCGATACATGTTTTCTGGCCGAGGGGGGCCAGGCAGTGTCACCTAGAGGTCAGGTGCCACGGAAGAGCGATGGGGCGCCCGGTATGAGATGGTCGCCGCGATGCCTCGTATGCCTGGTATGCCTGTGATGTTCTCAGTAGGTCCCAAGTGCCTACATTGCCTGCTGGCCACGCAGATTATCCTGTTGTCCAGCGGATTTCTTTTTCTGGTTGGCTTGCCTTGCCGAAGTGAGCGAGCAGAAGCCGTGTTCCAGTTTGATCCCCAAATTGCGGCTTTGGGATTCAGACAGCAAAGGAACAAAATCCTGATTCACTTCGATGGACTTCTTTCTCCCGTGTTTGCCCTTTGAGGTCAATTGGTTCGTTTTTGTTTATGCTTGGCTTGGTAGGGTTTGTCTCAAAATGGGGGAAGGAAGCCCAAAAGCGGCGTAACTTGTAGTTTTAGTTTCCTTTGAAGCCCAAAAGGGAACTTCAAAGCAAACAAAAACACCGTATGGACCGTATTTCCCTTTGACCTGAAAACCGCTTTCCTCGTTTCCGGGCGAAGCCTGCGGCCCGGGCTCCCGTTTCGCACGCGAGGCAGGCGCTGGGAAGGCCGCCGTGACCTCGGTGAAGGTCTTGGGACAGCATGTGGCGCCTGAAGCCAAGGCGAGCTTCGCTTAAGCCTCATGGGGCGTGAATGCGTGCCCAAAGGCAAGTGCTAAGGGAACTCAAGGGACACTTGCAGCCGTGTTTTTTTGTGGGGTGGTGTCTAAGTTCAGAGACGAAGGTATATTCGCAAATTATTTGGTGTGGGTGAAAGGTGCCGGAATTCCAGATCTCATGCATTTCAAGCGTCACTTTGTGTTTGACAATGTTTGTGAGTTTTCTTTGGCGCCTCAGGCGAATATTGACCGTGGTCCAGCCAGGGGTGTGATGGTAGCACGTGCCCCTTTCCAACCCACCTCGTAATTGGTTATGTCCACTTTGAGCCAGGAGAATAAGAGTTACAACCCGTTTCGGCCCAAGGGGAATCTAAAAGGGGCACAGCATGCACAAACGCCCAGAGCAACGGCCGGTTGATTTCCCGCAATGTCAAGAAGGCAAGTCAGCCAACTGCAAACCAGGTTGCTCAGTCTCTATGTCTGAGTACATCCGTAGCATGTTGGGGGAGCTCCGATTTATGAGTCCCATTTAGTGACCTCGCGTGGGTCAAGTCTCAAGCCCCTGGTTTGCCTGGGTAGACAGAGGGGTCTAACTACCAATTCTCAAGGAGGGGATCAAGGGATGCAGGGATGGAGTCAATCAGGCACATTGAATGCTCAAAAGCACTATAGGGTTTGTCTTCGACCACCCTCACGCACGTACCCATCCAGGTAATAACAGCTCAACCCACCACTCATCGGACCCCAAATCTAGGATCTTTCAGGAGTCTGGAAACACCGAGACTTTCTGTAGCGTGCAAGAGCAATGGATTGTTCGATGTACACGGGTTGGGCAACGAGACTGATTTCCCTCAGCCGGGTGAATTCAGGTGTTTGTGTGTTTCCTGATGGCCTGCGCATGTGTCTATGACAGAAATCTTGCTTTTGCTGCTGCTGTTGTTGGACATAGCGAGACCAGTCATGCAACACTCTATACACATTCGCACCACTTCATACCGTCAATCGTAGTTTCGTCCATAGCAACCTCCACGAGGTCATACTTATACCCCACTCTACAACAGGCAACACACACATACATAACCCACAACAGGCTATACATAACACAGGAAATTAAAACAACAAGGCACCAAAGCAACACTGTTACACCAAGAGCACGGCCACATCCAACGCGCAACAGCACAAAAGTCACATCCAGCAAGACACGTATAATCATAGCCATAGCCTCATAGCCAACAGCCAGCAGTCAGCTTTTGAATGTGGTTTAATGCGAGCACTGCAACAGCACCTAACAAGAGTTCTGTTATGGTGATCAAGTCAGCATCACCAAGATTCAACAGCATCAACAACTACAAAAGTGGAGCATGGGCAGGTGCAATCTCTCCCAAGCCTACTTGATGCCCCCTGCGCAGGCTGTCTCGCTCATGGGTTTTCGCATCCAAACCGGGCGGCGACACCAAATTCGTGCGCAGTCGGCGCACACTGGGCATCCTATTGCACTTTGGCCGCAATACTCCCCTCCAGCTTGTCTCAACCATGTTGGTATGGTCACGAACATGAGTCATTCGTGACAGGATGGGTCAAGAATCGGAGTGCCGCCCTGTGTTTGCCTCAATTAGAACACTCGGACCCAAGGTTTGCGACGGGAAGTACACCGCGGCGGCATCCTTTTTTGGTGATCTCCAGTGGTGTCCAAGGCCAGCTTGTGAAAATCGCATGAGGACGCCAAACTCAATTGATCAACCCTGGGTGGCTTGAAGCCTGTGCAACCAAACGCCTGTGTGAGTGAGTGACAATTGGCTTGAATCCACATGTGCCGGGCCTGCGCATGCACTTCCATAGGGCAGTGTTGCTCCCGCAGCTCAATTTCAATTCACCTGCTGCCATGATGTGTTGTTGCACATTCACTGCTCACTATGACTATCATGATTGCCAGACTCATTCCATTTGCTTGTAGTACAGCATGACAAAGTTCAGTGTAAGTGCTGCATGCAGGCCTGTTGACAGGTGAACCCCAGCCCAGGAACCAAGCAGACATGCTGAATCTGAGCGGCATGTTTCTAGTTGATGAATTTTAGCAGACTCTTGTTTCCACGATAATCTGTGAATCATGGTAGCTAAGTTAAGGATTTTAGCTGCACCCACGATACTGAATCGCCCACTTGCTCGCTCATTGCAGCTATACGTGCAAATCACTGAAGCCTTTGTATATGCAGATGGCTTTGGTTTTTCAAGGGGAACTCCCTTCAAAATCAAAGAAATAGTGGACATGACATGAATCCCCATTTAAATGATGTGCGCCAAAGGGCCCCCAGTTGAAACTCATACCCAGATGACCCTGGCAGCTTGATCTATATATATATATGGTCCCGTGTTCCGTGTTGCCACCCTCCCCCCCCATATGGTATGGGTCCCCAGGACCCCCCCCCCCCGGCCCGAGACCCCGAGCCCCTGGCACCTACGGTCCCACCCCCACCCCGACCCCCTGAACTCGCACCGACACCCCGGCACCCCCACCCCAGGACAAGCCAACCCGCAACCAACCATAAACCAACCCTAAACCAACCCTAAATATACCCTAAACCAAACCCTAAACCGTAGACCTCTAAACCTAAACCAAACCTAAATCAACATAAACCAACCCTAAACTAACCCTAAAGAAACCCTAAACTAACCCCACATACACCCTAAACCAATCCCTAAACAATAAACCCTAAACCCAAACCAACCCTAAACTAACCCTAAACCAAACCCTAAACCGTACATCTCTAAACCTAAACCAAGCCTAAGCCAACCCCAAACCACCACAACCCAACCACAGGACCACAGCCACGGGGGGGGGGGGCGTACTTGTCCGACCGATGACCATTGGCGGCGGCTGGCAACGCTGTACCATATATACGTATATATTGGTATCACGAGCATGGCAGGAACCACCTTACGCTGCCTGCCTCAGCCCAGCTGGTCACGAGTTGATACTTGGGCAATGTTTGAAGCGATAAATGTGAACACCCTCAGCCCTGGGAACCAGACAAGCTGCACCTCCATAAATACATATAAATACCTGGCTTGGAAGCCATGTTGCCCCATGCCTGATAGTTCTAGGGCCCAAAATTATCGAGTTTCAATGTAGTAGATATCCGCCCGAACAACAATGAGTGCTGATGCAAACTGCCAGGGTCACGCATTCAGCACATGCACTTGGATATGTTTAAAACAAACTGAAGCGTTGTTCACCACTGTGAGATGCCGAGACTGCCTTTTGCATTGCCAGGAACTTCCTCCACCGGTGCCGATTGGCGTTCCTTCGTGGAGACGTCGAGGCGACTTGCCATCCATGCACCGTGAGCAGGTCGATTGAATCACTGACCAAGGCTCCCATTTGCCCGCTAGCGCCAAGTTTTTCAAGGGATCTCGTTTACCCGCTCTTAGGCACAGGCACGATCAGGTAGCCCCATGGAACTCAACAAAATCTATAAAATCCAAACCATTGAACCTGTAGATGCTTTGAGGAACGTCATATTGCCCATGCGTTCCAGTGATCGTGGGTGCACCTGCAGCCTGCTTGGACAGCTGTACGTACCATGGCCACTGGCTTTTGCTTGCTTTCCTGGGTGTGCGTATGTGTGCGTGCCAAAGGCTAGACTTCAATGGAATGTGTTGCTTCAAGTTAACTCACCGGTCCGTGTGGGGTTTGTGTTTTGAGGGTACTTTTTTGTGGTGGTTTAGGGGACAAGAAGAGAGAGATGCTGACAGTGGAAGGCCGGCGCCTTTCAATGGACCCGAGGTCGAAGTCTGGGTGAACGTGCCAGGGTCCCAGTTGCAAACTGCGCAATCGCATTGGCGTCAATGGCCTCACTGCTGCGTTCAGGCATGGGCTTGATGATATGAGGATGCGAATGTGCTTGACCTTCTGATATGCATGTGGCTGTGTTTGGGGGATTTCCTCAACTGTGCTGGACGTAAAAATCCATGTCCATTTTGGGTCCACAATGAGTACGGGTCCATGTCTGGTCTTCTGAATGGGTTGGATATCCGACGCCCAAGGCCTTGGGATCTCAGCAGCGTTCTGGAGGCAAGCTCTAGAAGGATGTGAGGCTTCAACTCCTGGGGGACCATTGCAGATAGCGGAGTGTGGGAAGCACGAGATGGATGCCCATGCATGCCATTGACAAAGCATAGCCACTGCTGCAAAGCTAGGATTTGTTTTGGGGGGCAGCCCACCCCAATTCCCTTCGCGTTTCGGGGGTGCTTCCAACATTCACCACACTCATACCATTGTTCCACGGCACCGATGCAAAGATGCTAGTGAAACACGAACAAGCCTACCATTTGTTAACGTGCTGGGCTGTCACTCCAGCAAAGACATGGCTGCAGACCAAGGCGGACGTCACATTTCTATCAGACCCAATAGCATGAACCCTTTGCGATCATGGACTGGTTTCACCACCTTGCAGGCAACTGGGGAGCCTTTCGGGTTGGAGGTTTGTCTCTTTTAAAGCTCTCCAGAAGGGCCTGTTCATGGTCAGGTGGCTTGGTCAATCGAACAGGCTTGCGGAGTTAATTTCACCTTGGCGTCCATTTGAGAGGGGGAGTTTGTGGAGTCCCGAATTCCCAGAAGTACGCAATGTTGTCATGTTGCAGCTCACCAAAATGGGTGGTCATGGCAAGCAAGTCAGCCAAAAGATGGTGAAGGTTACCCATCACTCGGACACCTCAGGCACTACAAGACCGCGGCCACTCCGCGGCGCGGGAACAGCTGCTGCAGGGCTCGTCCTCATCCTGGGCGGAGTGGCAGCGCGCGCGAAAAGAAAAGCGCTTGAAGCGACATAGGGATGGGCGCTCCGGTGGCGTAGCTTCTCGTTTGTCAGAAAGGGTGAACAATCAGTGATTTTCACCGGAGGTTTGGAACATTTAGATAAGATCATAGTGTCCACAAGACATGAGACAAGGTAAAGCTGATCTTTTCCGACTGGGTGTGTGGCCAACCCGGGAATGCACTTTTCAGACAATTCCCCCGCTACATACGCACACGCGCATGTTTTGTCTCGCGTTTATTTTGCTCTTGCCGTCTGCCAGAGAGCTACATGTGGCTGTCAATTATACCACGGAACCACCCCACGACCCACTATCAGCAGCAGCACCACCACCACCACCGGACTACTACTCTACTACTACCACCACTACTAGTACGACGACTACTACTATCATCCTTAAAATTGGAACTGAAGCGAGCCTCATGCGTCTCATGTCACTCCCCGGTGGCTCTTTCTTGGATCCGAATTTCTGAACCCAAGGTTTGGTCAGCCGCGCAGTGCTCCGCTTCGGTGCCAGGGATTTTCTCGCCCGGAACCTTGGCAGGGGTGGACTCGCATGCTGTGAAATGGGTGTGGTTCCAAAGGGAAGCCAAACATCCGAATGGGTCCAATTCCGTATGTTTGCAAGTTACCCACTTGTCATTTTCCTAGGAACCAAGAGGGGGCAGGTGTTGTTTGCCTTCCCCGAGGGCTACAACAAGGGGATTGGTATTTGGATTGTTTTCCTCCAGACCTCCCCATTTGACACCCACTGAAATCTTTGTCTCGGAAACGCCAGCCTGTGGTCTGAGGTCTCGGGAGCTTCTGATCAAAGACCGGCACGGGAATATTGCGCCCTACGTCTCAGGCAAGCGCTCGGGCTCACAGGGGCGCAGGTCCATTTCTCCAAAGTTCAGCCCTTACAACACCTTGTTGGCGTTTTTTGTGATGTTTCAATCGGTATACGAGGAGGTATTGGGATGCCTCGCAGTGGAATGAATCAACATGAGGCCGCAGATCTGGAACAGTTTGCGGTTTGCCATGTCGATCCGGTGTACAATCGCAATGTTGCCTGCAGCTGCAACAGCTTTCAAGGATGGTGACGTTGTTGGCTTCAAAAACACACCTACCATGGAGGTCGCAACCGATGGTTGCTGGGTTGAGACGGGATGGCATCCAAGTACGTCAGATGAAGGATTCCTCTAGTTGGCTTGAGACGCTGAACTTCCAGCTCAACCCTCCCGATGTCCAGAAGGAAGGTGTCTGGTCCCAAAAATAGGAACCCTACCGAAGGTTTTGGGTTGCTCTTGCGGGTTGACAGCAAAAGCACGCTTGATAGGGGTAAGTGTGATGAATCTGCCTATGGCGAGCTCATCTGAGCGATCCGTTATTTCAAGTGTTGGACATATTGGTACAAATGCAGCTTCATGCTCAAGGTGTTGCCATGCTGAAATGGGGGGCAGGCGCCTTGTTTCGTCCAATCACCTGTTTTATTTGTGATACCTGGACCGTTGCCTCCCTAGATTCGCCATCAAACGAAAGGGGCTGGACTCTCTGCGCAGAACGACATTTGTTGTTTCCTAAAAATAGGGGGGGGATCTTCAGAAGGAAACTAGCCGTTTGGGGGGTTCCCGAATCCAATATATGGCCCCCGCAAAAGGAACAAGTGCCCTTGGTTTCCTTTGCCCCCCAAAAAAAGCTACCCTCAAAAAGAAGACCCCCATGGGTGCATTCTCTTCGACTGTGGCTTAGAGGCAAACCAAGGAACGCCACCAACTTGGCGGTTTTGTTGGCGGTTTAGACCTTCACAGCTTCTTGCGCAGGTGGGCTGAAGTGGCAAGATGGGTCAATGCAGTCCGTGGCCAACTCAGCCCAGCTTGGACTAAGCAGGCGGACCAACGGTGCCATCCGTGGGCCATACCCATGAAGATATCAGGGAAGATCACCCCCCAAAGACCCCGCCAAAAAGGATAGTTTCTTTTTCAGCCGAAAAGAAAAGAAAACAGATCCCAATTCGGGCAAATGAGAAGACATTAGGGGCAGCGTCTTTTGGGGGACGGGGTGCTTTGTGGGGTCCCCGTACCATATAAGAAGGCACCCCGGAAGCAGGGTTTGTTGCTCAGTGACAAACCAGCTACAAATGTTGTTAAATACACCGAAGACATTGAAATTGGATGAATTCCACTGGTTGCAATCTGGTTCTAATCCTGAATCCATTTAGATTGCAAAACTACGTCCTGGAGTGCCTTCACAATTTGCCGCCCATGGGTTCCATAGACGGGTTAGAAGGTTTGTTCCCGTACCCACCCCGAAAAAAGAAGAAGCTAGTTGACTTGAGAGGGAGGGCTAGAGACAACATCCGAGCCCAGCAGATCTATCCTAATATTTTTGTGTGGATTAGGATATCCTGCAAAGTTGATCCTATCCCAAAACATACTCTTCGCACCGCTGTGGATGAAACCTTAGTGGGAAAAGATCCTGATGGTGGCGATCGGCGTGGATTTTGTCCATTAGGACATCTTTTGGGTGGGCTGTGAGGCTCCAGCGCATTTATTTCGAGCATCCTGGGTTTGCATCGGCTCAGGATTTGCCCATGGCTCGGCTTGCGGAGCTCTTCAATGATCCTTGGCTGAACCTCGCCATTTCTCTGAAATCTCCCTGGACCCTCATGCAAAAGGGAATTCACCACATAACGTTGCATTGCAATCACCCTTGTCTAGGGTAAGTTTGAGCGCTCAGGTAGTGTGCCAAACAGGCGAAACCACCAGGGCAGGCAGTCCCTGCTCTTGCCCTTTTTCCAGGGACCAACTTTCCTCCTTGGAGAAGGGTCTTTGGAGCAAGCCTGTAAAATGGAGGGAACCCCCCAAAACACTTGCTGGTTTCCTTTGGGCCCTTTTGAGCCTTGAACGAGCCCTTGATGTTACGAGACACCTTGCAATACCACTGCAATACCACGCGCTACAACAGATGAAGCAAAGCAAAGCTGGCAAAGCCTTGAAGACATCTTTGAATACACGCTCTCTTGTGTGAGGGGGGTTCCAATCGAGAGCCTTCCACGACATATTTCAGTGAGTACAGAGAGGATTGCTCAGTCTGCGTGAGCTGGCCAATGTTTTGCCACGTCAGGTCAACTACTTCATCGTCTCGCAGGTGAATCCACAGGCTGTCCCTGGATTCCTCGCCACTTTTTGGGTTTCCGACGGACGGGGAGCCATCTTCATGGCAAGCCAAGTGTTTTGGGCCACAAGTTGCGTGTTTGAGACGGGATTCTGAAAATGGCTGGTTTCTTTTTGGTGCTCCTCTAGCCACCGACTGAAGGGTAGTTGGCATACTGCCTCATTTGCACCAAGCACCGGCTTGGTGCTGCCACCGGAAGGCCATGCTTCTCACAGGAGGCGGCGCCGCAGCCCCAGCTTTTGAGACCAAAGGCTTGGGGAATCCTTTCCCATTTCAGTCCCAAGGCCCTCGGATTGGTTTTCGAGGGGCGAGATCCTTTGACTCCGGTGTGGAGCGCAATTGGGAAGTGGAGAAAGAGTGTGCAAAGCTTTTAAGGTTTAAGGCGAAGAAGGGATCCTTTTTGTGTGTTGAGCAAATTGCTTGCGATCATACTGGCTTTTGGCACTGAAAGTCGGCATCATGTCTTTTTGCAGCCCTAGCAGCCAATGTTCCCAAAGAAAGTGCGCGCAAGCAAAGCCCTGCTTCCTGCGAGTCGCTGTTGACCTCTCAGGTTGGTTCGCAGAAGGGTCCCATCTACCGCCTCGCGCAGTTCCTGCGGCGCGAGGCGTGAGTTGGTGTCGCCAGCGGCCAACTCGGAGTGGATAGTGGAGCAATTCCTTCCACTATGGTGTTTACGTTTCGGAACAAAGGACCCTAGGACAGGGAAATGTGCAGCCACTATCGAATCACTGCAGCAAGTCTCTCTACTGCTCCCCAACCTGAAAGGCTTAGAGGTGGGTGGCACGCCACTTCTGCTTGTCCAGCCTTCCCAGCCACAGACGAAAGGACATATAATTTGGATCAGGATTTGGGGAGACTTTGCGGATTTTTGTCATTCAGGGTCTTGCCTACCAATGTGGCTCTTTGTTGCTTAATCTAGTGCCATTTGCAAAATTGCTGCTGTGTGGCTGCTTGGGGCAGCTGTGCAGTTTGTGGAGTTTGCAAGTGCTGGCATGCTGCAGGCTGTCCATAGCTGAGTTTGATATTAAGCTGCTTTTCACGTATTTATACATTGCATAGTATTTGCTTTTCTTAGCTGCTGTGATCGGATGGTCCGGGGTGCCTGGGAGAATCCATTTGTTGACTCATGGGCAGCGTTGAGTCCTGCGACTCAACGCGCTTCCCACTCGCAAAAGACCTTTGGGTCGCTCCCATGGGGTTTGGGAGCCGAAACACCAATTCAGCATGTGCCTTGGTCAAACACTGGGGTTGGTAGAGCTGGTCCTGGCCACTAGGTTTATTTGGACACATCAGGTTTCCGCCCCTTGTTTCGTCTTTGGCCGGTTCCCCACTTAAAACGGACAACCCCGAACGAGAATTTGTTTTGCAGCCCCGGTCACTGGGCAACTGGGAATACACACCGGAGATTTGACCAGTGAACGATGCCAGATCAAGCAGTATTTGCTGAGCATGTTGGAGTTCTGGAGAGGCCAAGGGCCTCAGAACTCAAGCTGGGCTTATACTCCCCTGCATATCAACATGGAACACCAGGAGTTCCCCATAATCCAGAGATTCCACTCCACATGGTGGTTTCTTGGGTTCCATGTTAGTTCAGGGGTTCTTTGAGTTGTGACTTATGTTCAAATTACGTGGTTTTCACTTGGAACCGTCCGGCTCTCATCATTTATTAGTGGAGTCCATCTGTCCAAAAGGACGCAAAATCAGATTGCAATCGCCTCGGCATGTCCAACCCAGGCTGCGGGTTGTAGTGTGATGTCATGTGGCTAGGTGCGGTTGTGGCGTTGACCGCAAAAAGGCCGCCAGCACAGTCCACTCGCAGGAGTCATGAATGCCCCCCTTTTTAGGAAGGACTACGAATTGGCATGTGTCTGGTTTTTCCAGACCATTTGCCATGCATGTAAATCAAATCACGCTGAAATTGTGACCCCTCCCGCAACCGTGGCTGAGGTGCCGGCGCGCGGCACCCTTGGCTGAGACCCGTGGGCAACACCATCATCGGCCTAGTGGTCCAGGACTCCTGAGGTCTTTCGAGGCAACTTGTTTTTCTCGTGTGATGGGGCAACAACGTGTTTTTTGTCGTGTTTGTTTACATAAAATGTACTGGCGTTGTCTAAATAGAGAATGGTGTGCTAGCACAGAAATCATTGCTTTCATCGCAACCATTTAAGCTCCTTCAGAACTATTCAGACCATTTACAAGGTCTCCAGCGGTCCACTTGTCCAAACAGAGATACTGAGAACTTCTCCCTTGAAACGCCGGAGGAGTACGAAGTCTGGAGCTCGGAGCTGGTTGCGGGAATGACTCGGCCGATGCACTACACGTTGGGAATGTGGACATGCAATTGATCACTTAGATCCCTGTGTAAATAATGTCCTTCACCAAAGGGTCTCCAATTTAGTTTCGTGCCCATATGTCATCAGCGGCAAAGGTTCCTCTTGCCAATGGCAAAGCTTCACATGTCTTGCATTGGCTCCAACACACCTTGACCCTTGTTCGTCCATCCGCAGGTGGGCAATATTTCTACCGAGTGTAAAGAAATTCAGGGACCTTTGGATTGACAAAGGTCCAAGCAACACGTGTTTCACTTCGGTACTTCCACACTGGAAAGCACATCTGGGATTGGTCTTGATTGCAAGGGCAGATTGATGTTTCAAGCTGGAGAAGGCCACCAAGCTAAGTGTCAGATCTCGCGACTTTGCTGTTGCCATGTCTGTGTGTCTGTGTGTGTGATTCAATATTTTAGCCCGCGAATTATCCAAACACTTTTGTGATCAGGAGTGAGGATGGAACTTGGGTGAAGAGAACCTGGGGGGCGACCACTTTTAAACACGGAAGTAGACGATCGGAGTGTTTTGGAAAACTACCATCTTAGCAAGGCCCACTGTCCACTTTCACCGTTGGAAATAATTCAGTTGGAAAGAGGGTTGTGTATCAAGCCAATTGGAGGATCACGCAATGGGTTGAATTGCCAGGGTGACGTGACCATTTACAACGGCCAGCGTCTCAGTACAGCGTTGCTTCGAGCCACCAAAAGGCAGCCAAACCGATCCCTTTGGTTTTCTGGGGCCACAGTTCTACCCTTATGACGATCGGGAACCCTGTTTTACGATAAACTGAGAACCCGGCTGTGGGTACCTGCGGCGCAGACGCGTATTGAGTCAACACTGCGAAGCAACCTTTGTAGAACGGAATCACTCTAACAGCTTGGCACCACCCAGGCCGAATGGATCCGCTCTTGATGCTTCTTGCATGCTTGAGCGCGGACGGAAAACGAAAGTCAAAGGGTGTGAGCTCACGGTCGCTAACCCCTGGTCTCCTTTGAGGGACAACCAAAAAGAGGTGTTCCGATCTGCAAAAGCAAACAACATGCGAAGCTGCTGAGACCGACCTTTTGCAGACTGAACTCCTGCCTCTTTCCTGTTTAGATGTTGGAGTGTCCATCACCAGCTAGGAAACATGTCGTCTCAAGTCCGGACAGCGGCCCCCCTGTGTGCAACGGCCTCATTAGATCTCGGGAAACTTGACCGGGTGAGTGTGTCCTTTAGTTACTTAGGGGCATGAATTAATGTTAGGGGCTACGGGATGGATTTCAAAGCACGCCAAAGGAAAAACATGTGAGCCAAAAGCTTTAGCGAAAGCGACCCCTATCAGGCCTGACCGTCAGCACTTCAAGGCTCCCAGAAGTTTGTGGGAACACGTGCCACGCCTTTTGTTCTTCTTGCAATGCAGCACGATACAAAATGATACAAAGCTGCGCAGGTGGTTTTGGTAGGTCTTGGTACCTGTTGGCACCTGCAGGAGATGCAAACCGTGCAGCACCCTCTTGTACCCTTTCATGGCTTCTAACCCTTGAAGTGCCTGTGGTTTGTTTCCCTACCCTCTGATTCGTGTACAAGGAGGGGTCTTCCCATCCTTTAAACAGGGCCCCTTTCCCTCAGTAAATGAAACATAATCTTTTACGCAGGGGACGAGCCTCATTTCTAATTTGCAGCTGCCCGGCTTTGGCTGTCACAGGCCGCGGTCTCCTGGAGATGCCGACGCTGCTGCAGAACCCCAGCGAAGAGACCCTCAGGAAGTATACCATCGCCTCCGAATGGGCCTGGAATCCCATGTTGCGGCAAAGGAACCTCTCTGACATGTGGCAGGATCTCAGGGCGGCTTGCTACCTTGCTACCAACAGCTGCAATAGGAGTGACCGGGTTGTCAAAATTGGGTGCCCCTTTTGACATCCCCTTTAAAAGGCGGCGCAACTCGCGCTGAGGAGACTTGGTGGCATATCCCTGAGATCCAGAACGCCTGCGCCATCGAATTTGCGCCGGCCTCACTGACGTGCATGGAACTTGAGTCCATGCCAGGCACCAGTCGGGATGGATGACACCCTCGGCTAAACTGTGTGGTTTCCCTTAGTGCTTTGGATTCACCGGGAAAACTCCATGCCGCGATCCAGACAGCACGACAATTTCATGCCTCGCACTTGTTTCAGTGCAGCCCCGCCTTTTGTGCCAAGGTCATGGATGAAATCTGCAAGGACTCGGTGATAGGGGGGATTGTGCCTTTTGCACGCGTGCTCATGGTTAGCCGGACTGGTGCATGTTGCTGAAGGCCCAAACATTCCGTATGGTGATCTGTGTGTTTCTGGGGTGCATTTGAATTGGTTATTATAATGCGTTGTATTCTTTGGATCGCTTGCCACCAGAGAGGAAAGTGTTCATTGCATGAGATGGGCATGAGTTTTAAACTGGGGCTCCCCCTCAAAGTGGACATTAATCCCGAGGTCCGATCTTCCTTGCGAGGAGTTGTTGGCAGACCTCCGAGCATCAGAGGCAGACAAGAGCCACGGCCTTGGATAGCGTTACCAGACTTCTGGAAGCCCTGAGTCAAAAAACACCGCACTTCTTTAAAAGCCAGCTTTGGCGCTTTCCGTAAATGGATCAAGCCTTACGTAAATGGATCAAGCCTTTGAGCTGTGTTTCGTGTGAGAAAAGTGTCGGCTCTGGCTCCGTGAACATCTCGATTTCAAGGGACCCGGATTGAGCCGACCGTCGCATTGAAATCTACCGGTGCTTCCAGCTGCCACCAAAACCAGTTGTCTTGTGTGTGTGTGTGTGTGTGTTTTTTTGTTTTCCCCGGTTTTTTGTTGCGTCTACATGATGGTTTGTCCTTTGTAGGCAACCAGGACAAACCATCCATCAAGACCAAGATAGAAGTAAACAAGGACCGGAACCCCAGATCTTGAGTCTTTCCAGTTGCAGGCGGCCTGGCGCGCACGCCCTCGCTGATCTCACGGGTGGTGCCCCCGGAGACAGGACTCAAGAGGCGCATCCGCGCACTGAGTCTCCGAGGGTTGGGGCGGGAGAAGCTTCGGGGCGAGCGAGCAATGAATTCGATTTGTCGGAATTCCTTTCAAACTTCTGGATGGCAATGGCCCCATGGAGATTGGTGTGGTGTCAAACAGGCAGACTTGTCGAACAACATGATGGCTTTGTGTTCTGAAGGTGAATCTTCAGGAAGCAAACAATGCCAGCGTTGGGGTACGTTCAATGTCACTGTATAGTCATGAAATTTGATGGATTTGCTTATTGACATTTGAGTGAATTGGGGCTGTTTCACCACTTACCAGCAATGGGGCTGATTTTGGCGGTATGCTGCCAGTTGCCCTGAGATCCGTTGCAATTTTGATTTGCCATTCAACCTGATGTTTCCCCGGGAAAGTCCCACAAAGAAGGCTTGTGGGTGTATTTGTTGGATTCCAGTGAAATTTGGCCGAACCTTTTGGAAATCGCTAGAATCAGTGACTCGCTGAGGGACAGAGCAAGTCATTTGAAGTAGATCCGGATCACTTTGGGGGGAGAGCTCAATAAATCCAACCGACGCATGGGATCTGTCCGAAGCTGCTTTGGCGCACCTGTGTTTGTTCTGTTATGCTGGATGTTTACCTGATGCGAAGTCTAGCTCTTGCGCTGTGCTAATGTGTGTGGTGTCCTTTTCGTGGAGCGGGCAAGAGCCCTCCTGTTGGGCAGGGTACTAAATGCATCTGAGGAAGCAACCAATAGATTCACAATATGTTCTTTGAACAATGTAGCCGGGTGTGCCGGCTGTAGTTTCGGAGCTAATTCACGTCGCATAATCGCCATTCCCCATTGCTCGCAGCATTGTGACTCAAGACTTGGGTCATGCTCGGCCGCTGGCTAGGACAGAGCCTGGCAAAAATGCATGTGGCTACGGGTGCTTTTTTGAGAGGTACTGACCACCCCCAAAGGAGATGCGTCTTTCTGAGATGTTTGAGTTCTGCCTTACAAGAAGACGGAAGCCAAAATGGGCGGGGATGGCGATCCCTTTCCAGCTTTCTGTGAGTTGCTGATGGGGCAAACACGAGTTGTATTTCCTTTACTTGGGGATCCCTTCGGACTTGTTTTAGAAGCTGCAGACCTGTTGGCAGGTCAGGTCCTTGGATGGTTTTAGCCGACATTTGTCCATTGTCGATTTGATGGAAGTCAAAGATACTATTCAATTAACCCACACAAACCAAGGGACTAGCTTCCCCTATATTTCTCCACGTCCATGTCGGGGGAACATACATGACGTCTTGTCCGCGGCTTATTTGTTCCGTAGCAACCAAGTTGGTGGAATCAGAGGAGGACTCAATGCATTAGCACCCATTTTCAGGCCACGGATTGGGCCACAGGATGCAAGATGACCTTGTATTTTCTCCTGCTTGGTCTGCCTGTGTGTGTGGGGGGGCGGGTTGAACATGAGATGACGAAGCATGGGCTGTGCGTGTGTGTGTGTGTGAGAGAGAGGGTGAGTGCAACATCGGCATCAGTATCCTTAAAGCCTCTCGCCTCAAGATGTTGTTTTTGAATTGTGATGTATGTGATAGATGGTGAGGGAAACAAGGTTCAAGAACTGTCTGGGAGTTTGCAGGCGAACTCAAGAAAGGTGCTATAGCTATGTCGCGGCCACATGTTGACAAGGGCATGCTGGCAGAGTGCTTAAAATTGAAATGTGCAATCTGTCCCAACGTTGGAGGAAGGAGCGAGGCAGCATGGCTGAGGCTGGAGGGTTGTTTTAGCACGAGGGAATCTGAGACATGACCCAGGTCTGCAAAGCCGCCGTCAATATTGGTAGTTTGCGTTTGATTTGGGGAGGCCATGGGACGTTCCAAGCTTGAAAGAGTGTCCCTTTGGGGAAACGAGTGATATAGTGTTTTTGTCTACGGGATTCCCGAGCATAGGTCGACCATGCCCTGAGTCGTTGAGTGGCATCACTTCGATCTGTGTGAAGGTTAAGTCGGCACAAATTTTCAGCCGTCAAAGGGCCGTCGTGGGAAGCCACCCATTTGTTGGGGGAATGAGACACAACCAAAATACCCAGATTCGACTCTTTCCGATTTTTAGAGTACAGCCATGGGTTTACGTGGCCCGCATCCAGACCCGCAATGGACAATCACGCCTGCGCTATCCCAAGTTCCTTCAGCATGTCCAGCAACTCAGTCTATTGTGGGCAGACAGAAAGGCCTTCAAAGGGTTCCCCCAGGGCCTCGCATTTGATCTATGTCCAGTGGAAAACCACATGTATTTGGATTGTGACCGCAAAAGCAGATGGCAGTGCAATGCTCAAAGGGTGTGCATCATTGAACAGAATCCGGCTGGCTCCTCAGTCTTGACTTACTGGTGCAAAGCATTTTTTCTTACATGATAGTGGCACATTCCGCGTGGTTAAAGAAGAACAGAGGGGGATGGCTGATTCCATGATCCCTTCTGTGGAGAAGACTAGACAAATGGAGTTGGGGCACTCGCCCCTTTCTCTTAAGGTAGCAGGGATGTTCCCAAAGCAGTCCAGCCAGGAAGCCGGCTTTGTGGTGCCACGGCCAGACCCAGATGCGCCATCATCATGCGGCGCAGCATTCTGCGACTACATGATTGGTGATGGCCTCAGCTTTCGGGCAAAGTCTTGCTAGGTGTGTTTCTTTTAAGAGTGCCCTTTTCAAAGATGGTGCAAACGGAAGCCAAACGGAAACCACGATTTTGGAGGTCCGCTTGCTTGACCCGTAAGTGCCAAAACGCGCACATCTGTGGGTTGAATGACGTAAAACAGCGGGAATGTTCGGCTCAAGACAAATGTTTGCTGTGCTCCAAGGTACTTTTCATTTGATAGACAATTGGGGCTATCACTTTTGGCTGTGCCTTGAATACCTTGGATATGGGATCTCACGCAAATGTGGGTTTCCTCAGGTACAATGTTCCTTGAAATACTATGCAGGTCCCAACTGCACGCCCAATTCCAAGGCAAGGATTTCCTCTTTCCTTTTTCTTCAGATTGGGCGGCATAGAACGTGACGAAAGCCAAGGTCTCCATGCACCTGGGGGATGTCTGCAACCAACATATTTATTTTCTGGGCCTGCGGCCTCTAGCCGGCTACGCCTCTTTGAAGTTATACCATGTCATGTCATGTTTTTTGCATGAGAAATGTAGCGTGTGCTATGATATGGCTGGTTCGGTTATGCATGTTGCCCACCTTAACCCCAGATAATGCCGGGGATGCCGGCTTTCTGGGCCCCATCCGGGCCCCAACCCAGAAGGCTGACATGGGGTCGCGCGCGCGCGCCAGAGGACCCAAAAAAAGCAGCCCAAAAAGAGCAGCCCGCAAGCCAGGCCGGAAACGCAAATGCAACAAAACACCGTAAATAGCAGCGTTTTGTGGCTGGGGGTCGCGCGCGCGCGCGCGCCAGAAGGCCCGAAAACCAACGCGAAAAAAGCAAGGACCGCGCAGCACGCGAGCCAGCCACAGCAAAAGCAAAACGGACAGAACAACAGCCCAACGCTCAGCACAGCAGTTTTTGGCGGTATTTACAGCGTTTTGTAGAGAGAGGACCCAGCATCGCCGGCATGCCTGGCAGCGCTTGGCGCCAAAATGCGCAAAAATGAGCCTCGCTTATACCCCTCCGATACCTACTTAAGAACAGTGCTTTTTGGGTGGAGAGGCTTTTTGGAAGGAAGTCTTGATGATGCAGACCAAGCCCCGCTGAAGCATCACCCAGGCCCAACCCCAGACCCTGACGATGTCAGCCACATGGCCTAAACCCTGCATATACGCGATGTTTCGCGAGGGTTTCCCACAGTCATGCAAAACCGCAAGCCCGAGCTGGTGATGCAGAGGTGCTGGATTTAGGCCGCGCATCACGACCAAGTGGCGAGGGTCGGCGGCGCCAGGGTGCAGCCCCTATAGCTAAAGCTAGCAGGCTAATTGCCTAGCGGCGCGGCGACCCCAAGGAAAGGAGGCGTAGCCGGATTAACACCGCCTGCTGCCGCCGACCCTCGGCGCATTAAGGGAAAAGTCAGAAGGACCGGTCCTGAAGCACGGGTGCCAGTCCGCAAGCCCAGGGACCACTTATAAGATCCTCTAGGACCACAAACAAGGATTAACGGAAAAGTCAGACAGATGGCAGCTAGTCCGTTAATTACCGCTTGGGCCGGCTCGCGACTTCGAGTTGGCCCGGGAGCGGTCAGCGGTCGCCTCTCCCGGGATCGTCCTGAAACTGCCCTGGACAGGTCGCCGGCAGGGACCGGGACTTGGGACCCTGTCCAGGCTGGTCCCAGTCTGGCGCGGTTTGAATCGACGTATGGGACTCTCTTGCAGAATGCCACAAGGATAACGGAAAAGTCAGAAAGATGGCAGCTCGTCTGTCAATTACCGCACGGGCCGGTTTGCGCCCAAGTCACGTCGAGTTGGCCCGGGAGTGGTCCTGGAAACAAGGCCGTCGGTGACGACCGGGACCAGTCCAAAAACAGCGACATTGGAGGAAACAGGTGTCTGGAGCGGTTTGAGGTGGACAGTCCTGGGACCGGTCCTGGGACCGGTCCAAACTGTGGGACCGGTCCTTGGGACCAATCCCGGGCCAGGACCGGTTTTGGTTGACCACAAGTAAAGAACCCAGGACCAGTCCAGGACCGGTCCTAGCACTGGTCCCAGAAACCGGTCCCGGGCTACTTTTTTGTTTGGGCGTGTCCCCCAAAAAAAAACATCATGGATTCCAATCACTTCATTCCAGTTGCATCCCACGCCGGTCCCCTGTGCAGGAGGCTGGGACGGGAGGCAGAGGGTCGGCGGATTTGGGTGTCTCCAAATGGGAGAACCACCAGAATTAGCGGTTGCTCATTGGTTTCTCGTTGGAAGCCAAAAAGGACGCCACCGAGACGCCCGCTTGACAAGGGAAGATTGTCGTTTTTTCGGAACACAGGAATCATGTTTCTAGGTCGCAACAGGCAAGCAGGAAGTGTGGAGGGCAGCCGGAGTGCCTTAAGGCTTGGTCGCT